ATAATTTAGCAGTGCCGAAGCGCGCGCACACAAAATCACACCCTTGGGTTGTGACACAGGAGACATCTCAAGTTGCTGGAGAAGTACCATCAGCGTTGCTTACAGAAGACCAACACGTGCAACAATGTTAGCGTTCTCCCTCAAGCAAACCCCATGAGCATGGAGATGATTAATCATCCAAAATCAGCTTTTCTGGCCTGGTCACATCATCTAGATGTCTGAGTCCAAATTCCCAAAGCAAGTTTTATTCTCCTAGCTCAGTAAAGGCACAAGCTAAAGAGGAGGGCAGAAAAAGCGCTTCAAAGATGTCCTCACGGCCAACTTGGAAAAAATGCAACCTTGATACCAAGTGGTGGAGACTACAGGCATCCCGCATCTTACATGCATTTAACTTGCGTGAATTCAACTATACGCGGGGGGGCTTGAGTCTGCATGCGGCGCTGCTGCTTACCTGGTGACCTGGCCACCACCACATTGCCAGCAATGACTGCCTCTGCCTCCGAAACCTCCTGCCACTGCCATGGAGCCGTGCCCGGAGCTGTGTGGCCAGCCACTGGGCGTGGTTGTGGCCGGGCGGCACGCAGCCATCCCCACCACCACCTCGCGCTGCTGCCGCTGGCCTCACAGCTCTAAGCGCAGCTTCACTGCGGCGGTGGGAGGTTTTGGAGGCAGAGGCAGTCACCACTGGCGTGGTAATATGTGATTTCACTATACGTGATTTTCGCCTTTACGTGCTGCCTTTAGAACGTAACCCCTATGTTAGATGCGGGATGCCTGTACTGTCCAGGACTGCCCCAAATGGAAGAAGAGCCTTCTGCAAGAATCTCAGTACTTTGAAACTTAATGGCAACAACAAGAGACAGAAAATTGGGAGATGTAGAAACAGCATGTCACAGACTGAATCAAGAATCCAAAGCCACCCACCCTATACAGAAAGATGCACCCGAGTTGCAACAGAGTCTGTTGATTCCAGACTGGCTTCATCAGTTGTCTTTGGACCCACAAATAAGATAATCGTGGAAAACAATCATCCCTAACTGTGAGGGATTGCTGATGATGAGATACTTAATGTGGGACAGTGGGCTTGTCCCCTTATAAGATTAGGGGTTTGCTAAGAGAGAAGCTCAAATCCAAATCAAACCTGTCATCTGTTTTTAGCCTGTAGGATTCCAGGATAAAATGTGAGAAACTCAATATGTGGGTTTTTTTGTATCTTTGAAAACTCTGTGCTTCTGAGGATGGTCTTTTAAGGCTAAAAGCAGGTGTTAGATTTCTCCCAAGACAAAGCTTTTTATCCTGGAATTCTACAGAGGGACAAGCTCATTGGCCATGTTAAGTACCAGTGTATTTTCTGAGTTAACACATTGCCCAGGGATGGTCCAGCTAACTTTTAATTAATTGCCATTCAAGCTATATGCCTAAAACACAGTCTCTATGTGCAGTTTGGAGCCAAAGACAGGCTAGAAAGGGATTGCAGGTTAATCCTGGGGCTAAAGTACCACCCTGTCTTGCCTTCTGGCCTTTATTTCAGACTAAAATGTCTAACTACCTCTCTTCCCTAGAATTGACACTAAACAGTGCTCTAGTTAGCAGTCTCAGCACTGAGATTGATGACTGAACCACACTCTCTATTTTTGCAGGATAGTTGTCAATTTCTTGATCTAGGAAGCTGTTAAATGTTTAGGTTGGTGTTTCAAGGCAAATTGACATCCCATGATTTGGAGCAAAATGTCCAAATCTGGGAAGCGTGAACTTTAATGAGCGACATAAACTTAAATTCATGAGGTTAAGGAGTCTAGAGAGCTGGCTGTAGAGTGAGAAGAGGCCGCTATGCAGTGGCAGTACTTGTTTTTTTGCTCGATTTATACTTCCCTAATAACCACATCAATGCTACATTTCAAACCACAGCACCTCTTGGTATTAACCTGTCCATGTCACTAGGCTTTTTTTTTTTTTTTTAAAGAGGGAAGTGTTTGTGGCTTTCTACCCTCACTAAAATCTAAACCACAGAACAGATTTTGCTTGGACTTTGCAAATCAGTTTTCTGTGGGTGTGGAACACTTCTCCAGTAAGTAACTTTTTTTTCCAGAGGCTTAATATTTCATCTGTCAGTGAAAAAGTCATTCTAAAACAACCTTTTTTTTTTTTTTTTTTTTTTTTAATGTAAAAGCTGTAATAGTGTTTTTCTGGAAATAAACTGTATCACTAATGTGGCTCCTACTTTTTTTTAAATAGTGTATTTTTAAATTAGATGTGAATCTTTGTATGCAGATAAGGCCAGATTTCACAAAAGCTCAACTTCAGTTGAAGTCAGAAGAGAGCTATGTAGTGATGAAAGATCGGAACTGGACTCCTAATTGTAGTTATGGAAGATTTACTATATTGTTTAAAGCCCTTTTGGTTGTCATAACAAAACGAGACGCTTGATAGATATAATGAAGATGCTTCATGCCATAAAATACCCCCATCAGAATTAAGTAAATAGCAAAACTGTCTCATTATTATATTGTCCCTTTCTGTCCTCCTGACCCTCTCCCACTTCTTTTCCTATCTCTTGCAAAGTGAAAGGGAGAGTTCTTTGAAATGAAACTTTATTCTCCATTTTGTTTCCAGTATAAATTCAGAGACCTGACCATAGAAGAACTGAAGAATGTAAATAAGATCTACCCAAACTTTCTGTTTTCCATGGACACCTATAGTAAGACTCTGATCCAGTTACTTTGATTATATGGCATAGCTCTAGAGAAACATGGGATGGAGCTGTTACTTTCCATAGGTTCAATTGTAGGTTAAAAAACACTGTCACTTGTTTTTGTCTTCTAATTCTTTTGTGGGGTTTTTTTTTAAATTAAACTTTATATGATCTGTTGACTTTTGTCATGCTATATTGTTTATAAATTAGCTTAACCAAAATGAGTAGCTTTTAAATTAAAAAAAAAATGGAAGTAATATATAATCACTAATGTGTGACCAAGGTTTTAAATACTGTGCATATCATGTCTCTGGACCATGTTTATATTGATATATTTATTCATGTCAAATATAACTTCCAGAATCCCCCAGCTGGAAGAAAAGTCCAAGGGACAATAGTGTTGTATAGGAGGAGGAAGAGCAAAGGCCCTTACAAAAGGGCTTTTTCAAGTTGCTAATGCATTGCAACTAGGCTCAGTAATAGAGAAGGTCAGCAAGAGTCATTAAACTTCTTAGCAGAGAGGGTGATTGGAAAGATTGGAGGGCAAAGCGTGTGGGGATGGGATAAAAAAATAAGTAGTCACACTGTCTTCAAAAAGGGGAGGGGAAAATGAAGCCACAAAGCACAGACATAAGTTACATTTGTTGCACAATTGGCCACTTGAAAGCGCTCTACAGCCGTGCCCTGACAGAAGTGCATGGCTGCAGAGTGTTTTAGAAGTCCCCGATCATGCGACAAATTAACCCTTGTTATATGGGTGTTCAGATGAAGGTACTCCAAAGTAGGGTACCTTCATTAACTTCCGTCTGCTCAGGCATGCTGGACTGATTCAGCACGGCCCCATGCTCCATGCTGTCTGCACAATGGGAGGGAGGGGAGGAAGCCTGGACTCGGGTTTGCCCAGCCTGTGCTGGAGGGTGATGGGTGGATTAGAGTAGGCTGGGCAAACCTCAAATGGAGCTCAAAGAAGGCATTGACTAAAAATTATTTCCTTTTCAGCTTTCAAAGATGGATCCCAAAAAGACCTCCTGAATTTTAGTGGCACTGTTCCAATAACTTACCATGGTAAGTTAGTGTGTATATTTTTCTGCCAATTTGAAAGCCAGTTGTAAGGCATCTTGTGTACATTTAATAGTGTTGCTTGTGACCAAGTCATGGGATATCTTGTGCAACTATATTGATTAGTGTGGTCAGTATGGCAGGGTTTCTTTTACTAAACCCAGGGTTCTGGTAAGAATTGCAGCACTAAAGGAGTTTGCTTAGGATCCGTCTCTGTCAGGGTTGCCAACCTGAGACAATTTTTTACTGATCTGCAAACTTTACTGGCAACCAGACTCTTTTTTTTTTTTTTTTTAACTGACATGTTTTACATGATGTAACTGTAACCCTTCTGTCAGGCCCTGAACAACAGCTGGGCTCAGATTTCAGGATTTAACACCAACCATAGTGGAAAAGTTTGATTGATTGTCAGTCAAAAGTTTGCAGATTATCTGTAAAAAAATATATAAACGATCAGTTTGGGAAACCTGACGGAGAGAGAGATCTGAAGCAAACTTTCTTCTAGTGCTGAAATGTATACTATGCTGTCCTCAGCCTAGCTGTCCCTTACTCAGGTGACAACCCTGCTCTCTGTGTCCTGGACAGTGTTTGGAAAATGCATTTGGAAAAGTGGTGGCAGTGGCCAAGTCAGAATGCAAGCCTGTCTCGGACTATAATTTTGAAACATTTCTGGCTGCTCATGTAGAGTCTTGTCAAGTTTCATTGCAGCTCTGTTCCTGGCAGGCTTCCTTCTAGACCTCCTGGAGCCCTCTTAGGTCTTCTCTCCTGCCGCCTTCTCCCTTTTTCCCTGCCTATCAATCTGTTTGCTATTGTTCACCCACCTTTTCTCCTATATTAGCATATCTGTGGCACCATGCTTCATCAGGGCTCACATTAGCATCGTGGCTGTTCCTCTATAATTGCTTGTCTCTCAAATCACAGACCCCTGGCGTTGTCCTGCTTGTACCTGACATAAAACATCCCATTACCTGTTACAAATGTTTTACGTCATAATACTCAGGAGCAGTACCAGTATATAGAAAAAGTAAAATCTGTGAATTAACTCACTTTTGATACATGTTTCTGTACACTTAATTCTTGGAGTTCAGTTTTGCCTATAGTCTTTTTAAATAAAAATGGTTAAAGTGGATTTTTCATAAATCAACTGAAATTACTTTAATTCCATATACTCAGTATAGTATACTTTAATTCCATACTTCTTGCAATGAAGAGTTAGATACCAAACTATGGTAGATAAAACTTTGGGCTCAGGATGTGGGGACAGTTGGATAAATTCTTGAAACCTGGTGCTTGAATATGTAGCATCTGAAAAGAACTAAGATTTGTTTTTTTTCTAGACTTGCAGCCTTTGAAACCTAAGGGTTATGATGCAATAGGTTCTCCTTGTCATTAGCTTTATTGTCCCCAAAAAGTAAGAAGTCGAGTGCTTTTGAGAAGTTCCCTCAATTAGGAAGGCAGAGCTGTTTGAGCATTTGTTTTTTGCTTTACCAGCAGGCAGGATTTCAATCAATAGTACTTGCTAAGCAGTCTTGGTAGCAATAAGCTTTAACTGAATATGGTAGAAAAATATTGATAGGTGAAAAAGTGCAAAGTATAACATACCAAAAACGTTTCAGCTTCTCTGCAAAACACAGAAGTTCTCATGAATTGTATTTTGTATCTAACAGGTCATTCCTATAACATACCAGTTCGTCTATGGATCTTGGATTCTCACCCTTTTGCACCACCCATTTGTTTCTTAAAGCCAACTGTAAACATGGGAATTTCTGTGGGAAAACATGTTGATGCACATGGCAGGATATATTTGCCCTACTTACAAAACTGGAGCCACGTAAGGAGAAAAAAAATCTCTGGGAAGAAAGCATGGTATTGCATGAGAATCAAAGGGCAGGTTTTTTTTTTTTCTCCCTTTCTCCTCCACTGTATATTAATCTTATATGAAGTGGTTATATAGGAAGAAACAGAAAGTTGCTTTCTTCCCAGCTATAACCTTCCGCCAATCAAATATTATTACAAGACAAATAGTTAAAAAGGCATCCTGTTAAAAGGATAAACTAAATAATGCTCTCATTTTTCTTTGTTGCTGTGTACAGTAACAGTCTAAGCTGAGGCTGACTTTCTGTAAAATGACAATAAGTGTTGGGAGTGGGGGGCCCTATCTCTTTGCGGATGGTATTGCAAAATGGAGACCATGTTGGGGATGCTGAATAGAAAGCTCCGAAAATAACTAGTTGTCAAATATTTTATTTTTTTTACATACTCAATTCCATAAGTTACTTTAAAACACGGGCTGTTAAGAAAGCAAACTTCATTTAAAGGACTGTTGTTTAGCTAGTTTCTGAGATCGGTCAAGCAGTTTTTACCCTTACTTAATGTAGGTAGGCTTTGGGGAATTTGTACCTGGTAACTAAAGTTTTTATGCCTCATCCTTATTTAGCTAAATATTTTCTTGCTTTTACTGAGTCAGGACTGCAGGATTGGGGTCTTGGGCAGCTAGTTTGTACCTTTTTAGATAAATACTGCTCTCTGTCTAGTTGTGAATTACCTAGTATGGTAGAAGCTGGATATGAGCACAGCCCTTGGGAGCATTAGAAGTTTAATGTAATCTTCCCTTTGCTAGTGTAGTAACAATGGCAGATGAGACATGAGCCACATGCTGCACAGTTCAGCTTTTTTATTTTTTATCTACCAAGTAACATGCATAGTAATTATGTATACAATATTGGCTGCTTCTTAGAATCACATTGGGCGTAGAATTTTGATGCTGATAAGTGCTTCTGATAAGCGCCCACACAGCTCATTTTCCTGTGCTGTTGCATATAGCACAATGTTTCTATACCACAGACAGGCATTTTTACTGTATATGTGATAGAATATCAAAAAGTTGGTTGTGCCAAGAACAGAAATCCTGTGAGTTTACTTTTATAAATTTCTGCCACATCCTGAGAGATCACAACATGTGACCAAAAGTTTGCTGAGCAGACAGATTCAACCAAAGATGTTTTTGACAAGATACGAGCCAAATAAAACTAGTGTAGATTGTGGACACTGCCCTTAATGTGCTAATTGCAACCAATTTAGCACTAACATGGCATATCCTGTAAGCATCTTTAAATCCAAACAGGGTGTATTACATCAGGTGCTCCCAGCTGGAAACATTTTTTTTTTGTGAAGATAGATACATTCCTTATATCTGAACTGTGCTTATATGTAACTCCTACTGTATGCTACTGTGTCATAAGCTTTCACATACCCAGTGACATTCAGAACAACCAATTGAATTGGTGTTTACTTATCTTTTATTCAACCTCTAGATTCCTCATCTTTCTAATCCATACCCTTCCATGTTCCACACTTAAAATATATAAACAAACTAAACATTACTTTAATGGACAGTGCTACTTTTCTTCAATATATTAAATGTTGGTGTAAGTATCGAAGTTAATATTTTGCTATTTTTGTACAGTGATTCTTGATATCAGTATAAGTTTGTGCAATTTAAGGGTCTTATGTTACAATGTTTGCTAGCTATTCAATAAAGTAACTTTTTGATATGCATGTTTGTATGCCTTTCAGCCAAAATCAACTGTCATTGGGTTAATCAAGGAAATGACTGCCAAATTTGATGAAGAGCTCCCTCTGTATTCACTGTCATCATCTGATGCAGCCAGGCAGCTGGAACTGTTGTCTTTTATTGCTAAGTTCAGTGAAGGTGTGTACTTCAGCCACAGATCTGAATGCTCTTCTGGTCTGAATCGATATCTACTTTATCTGTTTAGCTACAGTTTTTGTGCATCCTTTTAAGATGGCTAATTTATGGCAAACTTCTAAATTAGCCATTTTATATTTTTTCTTTTATCTGAAGGCAGAAATGAATAGTCCCTCTCTAAACTTTGTAATACAGTCACCCTGTGCATTTGCTGTTTTTTTTTCCAAAATGAAATGCAATACCTCTTTCAGTGTAGTGAAAAGCAATGTAACATCACCAATATGGAATGAACAGCTTGTGATGGTCACAATTCAGTCAGTTTTGCATGTGATTTAAATAGTCTCTTAATTTTTTGTAAAAACTATATGCAGGACTGCATGAATTGGCAGCAAGAAATTATTATTATTTGTGTTATATTTTCCAGACGCAGCAGCTGAGTTTGGACTCTGTTATCTTATGTATTACACAAACACCTAGTAGAAGATAGACCTTGTCCCAAACAACTTCCAGTTGTGTTGATGGACAAAGGGGAGAAGGGATATAGAAAAACAGAATTGAAGTAACTAGCCCCAGGCCATGCAAGACATTTAGTAAAGCTGAGTATAAAAGTGAGGGGGCAGATCCTTAGTAGATATACATTGTCATAGCTCCATTGGTTTTCATGGAGTAATAATTCTTTATATCAGCTAAAAATTTTCACCTTCAAACTTGCATCTTTTTCTTGGATTTAAATTGTTTTCCCAGGATACAGTTTTGTGGAGGAATGTTTGTGTCTTACCCCTGTCACAACCCAAAGGGTGTGATTTTTGTTTTTGTGTGCTTCGGCACTGCTAAATTGTTCCCGCTAAATTATAGCTTCTTTGCACGGTGGAGTTTTCTGCTGCAAAAGAGACCCCCGGTGCGGGGGAGAATTTCCTGCCAATTTGAAGCTTTCTTTGCAGGGTGCATTTCTTTGTTGCAGCACAGAAATGCTCGTTGCAAAGAGTTCCTGCCATTTGTATGCTAATTTGAGTCCCATTATTGGCCAGTTCTAAATTATTCACACGTGGCGGCTAGTGATTGGCTTGCTAGCCGTATAAAAGGCTTGAGTGGTTTCCGCCCAAGTTGGAGGACTCCACGAACACCAGGAGGAGGAGACTTCACGCTGCGTGAAGATCTCTATGCGCTGCGGATTCTTACGGACCCAACGCATTTCAAGCAGGCAATGGAGGTCTGATCAACCTCTAGCCTCTCCCCGTCATCGATTGCAGTCCAGACGTATCCCTTCCCGTGCGCAAAAGAACCGGACCCACGGAGCCTAGCAAACTTCATGTGAGT